CACACACACACACACACACACACACACACACACACACACACACACACACAGTGAAGGCAGAACACGGTGTGTGACCTTGTTTCAGCCCGTGTGTGTAAAGTGCTGGATCAGCTTGTTGCTGTGAGTGAACACATGCAGGATGAGAGGAATGGCACGCTGCTGCACAAAGGAAACTAAATCAAATATTGATTCCTTTATTATTTTTATTTTGTCTCCAAAACAAAACTCAGGGTCTTATAGAGAGCAACTGACACATCTAATGAATCAAAGTGAATAAAATGAGTTCATTTCAAATACTCCTGTTCCAACAACCATCATGAGATATTTTCCTAAAAGAACGTCTGCAGGTGGTTTCATGATGTGTCATGTGAGCCATAAACACCCATGTTCAGCTCCTGCTTCCTGTGTGACTTTGGAACATGTTTATGTCATAAACACCATCGAGTCATTTCTTTTATCTCATGATTCTGACTGAAAACTGCGTTTCCCATCAGCCCCCTGATGCTGGACGACAGCTCTGCCAGCTCTCCTGCCTCCAAGTTCAGCCACAGTCATCCGCTGGAGCCCATCCACGAGCCTTTCTACATCCAGTCAGTGAGTAAACAGCTAAAGAAACGTGTGACAACAGCTAAAGCTCAAAAAATTCAAATCAGCTTCGTTCATCTTCAGTTCCAGATGAGGAAAACGTAGAAAAAAATCAGCATGACAGCTGAGAGCTGAATGAAGCTAAACCCTGAGTTAATGTTTTAGCACACAAAACAGTAAAAATCAGCCGAACATGAGCTAAAAATTAATTACAGCAAACCAAATGCTAAAATTATCTGACAGATGCTAAGAGTAGCTAATGAGATGTTAAAGGTATCAAAATAACTAAAATCTGAGCACATTGTAGCAAAGAGCTAAAAGTAGCAACAGGGTAGGGACAAGCTGATTGTGGCCAAAGAGTAGTGCTAAAAGTAACTCACAGTAGGTAAGAGCTAAAACTAGAAAAGTAGTTAATAAAAGCTAAAACTAGAAAAATCGTAGGTAAAGGAAGCAAAAGAGTAGCTAAATGCTAAAAGTAGCAAAATGGTAATTTAAAGCTAAAGGTAGCAAAAAGTGTAGGTAAAAGTAGTCAAACAGTAGCCAAAATCTGGTAATTAAAAACTAAAAGAAGCACAGAGCAAAAACACTAGAAAGCTATGTAAAAGCTAAAAATAGCACAATGATAACTTAAAGCTAAAACTAATAAAAAGAACCGGTTAAAGGTAAAAATGGTCYAACAGTAGCTAAATGCTAAAAGTGGTAGAATAGTAAGCTAAATGAAGCACACAGTATGTAAGAGCCAAAACTAGCAAAATGGCTGGTAAAAGCTAAACATGGACAAACAGTAGCTAAATGGTAAAATTTGTAASCTGGTAGCTAAAAGCTAAAAGAAATTCACGATGGGTAAAACTAGAAAAACAATAAGTAAAAGCTAAAAATAGCAAAACTGAAGGCAAAATCTACAGTTAAATGATAGTTAAGAGCTAAAACTAGCAGAAGAGCATGTAAAAGCTATAGTAATTAAAGAGTATAGCTAAATGCTAAAATGTCCTGATGTACTGTATCTCAATAATCAAAGTACACAAATCTAAAAGTTGAGTAGGTCCTCTGGTCGAGTTCTTTGTTGAAAAAAACATTTACAGATTAACTCAGCCTACAAGTGATAAATACAAAATGCTAAAAGTAGCTCAATATAAACTAAAATACTAAAGTAACAAATCGCTAATTAAAATGCAAAGGTATCAAAACTGTGCAAAAGCTAAAGTCTGCTAAATATCATGTAAAACTAAACACAGCCGTAGCTAAAACTAAAACAACGGGAGCTAAAAGGAAAAACTACAAAGTGGTAGCTGAAAACTAAATTTAAGAAGACATAACCAGTTGTTGAAGAAACTGAAGTGATATTTTAAAACGAAAACTTTAAAAAGTATAAAAATGACAAAATCCAAACGTGGAAGCAGCCTGAACGGATCTGAACGACTTGATTTACTGAGTGAATAAAGAAGCAGAAAACAGTTTGATTCCAGAAACAGTCGACTGGAGCGTGTCGTCGTTCGGCTCTGATGACTTTCTCAATGACACATTTGGCTGGAAACTATAATTACTAAACCGCTGAGCTGCTGACCTCCAACGTTCAGCACGAACTCTGCTGGCAGCCACAACGTCAGCTGTCAGCTTCAGCAGAACAACCTGCTGAGAGGGCCGATAACTTCTTACAGAGCCTCTGAAGGCTGCGAGTCACAGAAAATTAAAAAAACACCTTCACTTGATGCAAACCAGCTGAGTTACCTGGAAACCAACCATCTGCTGTTAGCTGAACACTAGAGGGCAGCAGAGGGCACCAACTGATGTTTTCTGTGTTCTCAGCCCTCTCCTCTTCCTCCTCAGCCGTCCGGTGACACGGTTTCTTGCTCTGCTGGCGGGCTGACAGGAGGACCAATCATATCAGACGTTACTGACATGTCTCAGGCCGGCATGAGCCTTCAGATGCAGCCTGGTGAGAGCAGGTGAGTCAGGCAGGAGAACGTCCAGGGTTCTCCACAACATCAGCAGGAAACCCAACATCTGTCTGCATGAACAGGGAGAAGTGCCTGATGATGATTAAAGAGGAGCCCGTGAGTCCCGGGGTCCGAGGAGGAGGAGGAGGGAAAGGAGGTGGTGTGGGGGGAGGGGAGGCCATGGCCTTGGCCTCCACCTGTGAGGTGTGCTCCTCCGAGCCTCCTGTCCTCCCCGTCGCCATGGTGCAGTCTGTCCTGGAGGGCAGGGCTTCAGCAGCCTCCATGGAGAGGAGGAGCAAGAGAGCTCACCTGGACAGGTGTGTGTGCTGACAGGTGGACGTCCTGAGAGAAGCTGCACCGTGTGTGTGTTTATGATCAGTGTGTGTGTGTGTGTGTGTGTGTGTGTGTGTGTGTGTGTGTGTGTGTGTGTG